AAAAGTCCCTGGCTCACAGACCTGAGCTCATCCCTGTGACTCCTCCCACGTGTGCCATGGGTCCTGGTGACTCTGCTGTTTAAAACCCCTAGTGTGGCCACAGAATGTGTGATCTGTGCACACCTCAACCGGGTGCATTTAGTTACGAGTATTGCAACTACAGTATGTGACCTCTAGCAAGCATCAAAATTAAAGATATACAAACACTATGGTCAGGAGTATGACCCAAGTAACAGTGACTGCTGATAAAAATGACAATTAAAGGAGTGTGGTTCCCGGTGAGTATGTGTGCAACCTTGTCAAACAGGATGACCATATGTGTGAGTAATCCCTGATCACTGCAGAGCCACGACAAAGGCAAGAAAAAGAAATCTTTTCTTAAAAATAAAAATTAATAAATGAAAATTAAGAAACGAATCTTTTCTTTCTATAGCCTTTCAGATAGATCATAGCACACTATCAAAGACATATTCTATATACCTCTAAGTCACTGAACCTAAAATGTTTATATACAGTAAATGAAATATTAGAATATCTAGAGTATGCCTGGTTTCATAAGTAGTTGCCGAGTTTGATAAAATTAGCTTAAACCATATCAGTACACAGTGTAGCTATCTTATTCCTCATATTAATACTGGGAATACTTTACTGAGATTTGCCATATTCTTCCAATAGGAAACTAGCAAGATCTGTGATTATATTTTTAAGATCTGTGATTATATGCCATTGGGCGACACTAGCACGTGACAGGGACAGATGGAGATGTTATTGGCGCCTGCTCGAGCAAATCGACAATTAACCGGAAGTGATCAAGTGTGATTATATGACTATTGTTAATTAAATTTTTCTATCTTGTTTCCATCACTCAATTTACATAAATTTGAGCTCCTAATTCAAGGGATCTTATATATGTGTATGTGCATACACACAGACACACGCTTTATATATATGTATATATACATATATGTATATATATACACACACACACACACTTTATATATGTAAACATTTTCTTTTTAAAAATGGTAAAATTGGGTGAAGCAATAGTACAGCAAGTAAGGGTGCTTGCCTTGCATGCAGGTGATGTGACTTCAATCCCTGGCAGCCCTTATGGTCCCCTAAGCACCTCAGGAGTGATTCCTGAGTGGAGGGAGAGCCAGAGTAAACCCTGAGTATCACCAGGTATGACTCAAGAAAATGTAAAATTGAAATTTTACTAGTGTGTATAAACGATGGAAGAATTCCACGTTTGAAAACTACTGAGTTTGTTCATTATTCTTTCCATATAGAAAAAGGCCACAACTCTGGGAAGAAATGACAATAATTTGTTCTTCTACTTCCTGACTTAGAAGAATCTATAAAGAGAATATTTAAAATGGAAAAGAAATCATATCTTAAACTGAAATCTATGCAAATGTATTTGTGTGTAATTGGAAAAGAAAAATAATGGCATTTTTGGCCATTTTATATGGTCTTTTAATAAAAAGTTGTCAATTAAATATGAAAGCAATAAAAGGTCAGTTTTTCTTTGTATTATCAGATCACCAGGTCCTGAGTATTTAAAAATGTCTCAAACACTGAACTAAGCTCGTAGTTTTAACAGACAAGTTTTTAAAAGAAGAATTAAAAAGTCTTCTCAATGACTTCTCTCTAGTCTCCCATCTTTTTGTCTTTTGTACTATAAAATAACATGATCACACCATTCCTATACCGTACACACAAAAATATCTGACATGTTCTCATCAAGTCATATGGAAGAATTTACTGGTTTAACTAGAGTTTGAGTCAACCATATCATTCTTAAATATTCCACAGGGTTCCAAATACATGGCTGACTTTATTATTTTCTCTGCTTTAACTGGAGTTGTAGGAATCAATAAACAAGAATGTATTAAATCAAGTATACTGTGCTATCTTTACAAGCTCTAAATAGACAGTATTGAGACTCAAACTTTAGACACTATTATATTATTCTGTAATGTCTGTAATCATTGTATTATGAAAAATCAAAGAAATGAAATGAAATAAAGGAAAATTAAGGAAAGACTCCATGGAACAGGTGGAACTTTTGCTCAGTGGTAGGTAACACAAAGAATGACAACAAAAGTGGAATTTAATGGCAGTATCAGCCATGAGATATTTAATGGAGGTGTCAGACATGAGAAAAACTACTAGTTTGGGAATGGAAAGGGAGTTTCCAAAAGGTATTAAAGGATGAAAGATGCTAGTAGTGAAGAACACAGAGAGACACAAACTTGGCTATGGAAGGCAGAATTCCAAAACAGAATGTCTTGGCTGTCAGGAAGAGTTGTTTAAATTTGAGATACAAGTTAATAAACAAGGGAGAGATTTTTATAAGACTATTTCCTCTTTTGGTGTGAAAGGGATACAGTATTTATTTAGGCATATGAAAGGAACATAGTAACCAACTAGCAGAACTTTGGAAAGAAATTATAGAGTTTAGAGATGGCAGTAAAAGAGAATAAATGAGAGTAGGTTCCAACTTTCGAAACTGTATCACTAAATGTCACCAAACAGGGGAATTAGAAAACAAAGGGTTGGGAATGAGAAGACAGTTTTGGACTTGTTAGATTTAAATCTTCCTCGTGAAGCTGTCCTGAAACTATTCTATAGATTTATGCTGGGATGAAGCCAAGCAACCAGAGTGAGACTAGGTAACCTCTTAATGCTTTATATCTATTTAGAAACATTAATTTAGATTTTCAACATTCAGTTAGGTAGAAAACCAGAAATCAATACTTTAGTGCACAAATGAAGAAATGTTTAGAATTACAGCTCTAAACATTATAGTGTTTACAACTCTTACATTTACAATTATAGTGTTTCAAATCTTCTTTCAAAACAGGTCACCAGCATGCAGGCAATGCTGAGGCCATACAAATGTACACTTTTTGAAGCACAAAAAAATGGGATTTCTTGCAGAATCACATAAAATTAAAACATGGAAGTGAGAGCTCACACCACCAGGAGTACTCAAGAGAGTAAGGGGAAAAATGACCCCCCCAAAAAAATCAATACCAGAAGAGCAAAAGAGGGCATAGTCAGGAAAATCAATAATGGAGGTCAATAATGGAGTGTGTACCCAGTGATCCCAAACACCAAAGTTGAAGATGATTAAGATCTGGCAACACATTTGAGGGTTGTAATTTTTTAAGAAATAATTTTCTGATTATGACACTAGTTTAAAGAAAGTCTTTTTGGATGCTGGAGTGGGTAGGACATTTGCCTTGCACATGGTCAACCCGGGTTTGATCCCCGAGCATCCCATATGGTCTCCGGAACAATGCCAGGAGTGATTCCTGAGTTCAGAGCCAGAACTAAGCCCTGAGAACTACGAGATGTGACCAAAAACTTTGGCACATCTACACAATGGAATACTATGCAGCTATCAGGAGAGATGAAGTCATGAACTTTGCTTATAAATGGATAGACATGGAGATTATCATGCTTAAGTGAAATGAGTCAGAAAGAGAGGGACAGACAAAGAAGGACTGCACTCATTTGTGGAGTATAAAACAACATAACATGAGACTGACACCTAAGGATAGTAGATACATGGGACAGGTAGATTGCTCCATAGCTGGAAACCTGCCTCATGAGCAAAGGGGAGAGGCAGCTGGAATAGAGAAGGGATCACTAAGAAAAAGATGGCTGGAGGAATCGGTCGGGATGGGAGATGTGTGCAGAAAGTGGATAAAGGATCAAACATGGTAACCTCTCTGGGTCTGTATTGCAAACCATAATGCCCAAAAGTAGAGAGAGATTATGGGGAATCATGTCTGCCATGGAGGCAGGGGGAGGGTGGGAAAAGGGGAATATACCGGGGATATTGGTGGTGGGGAATGTGCACTGGTGGAGGGATGGGTGTTTGATCATTGTGTGACTGTAACCCAAACATGAAAGCTTGTAACTATCTCACGGTGATTCAATAAATTTTTTTAAAAGCCAAAAAAAGTATTTTATAAATATTTTATTTAAAAAAAAAACCTGCTTTAGTTTGGGATCCTGGTTCTCCACTCAGGGATCACTCCTGGTGGGACTTAATGATAATATGTGGTGTCAGGGATAAAACCCGGGTCGGCTGAGTGGCTGTACTACCTCTCTGGTCCTTGAAATCTTTTATTTTAATTAATTAATTAATTTGCTTTTTGGGTCGCACCTGGTGATGCACAGGGGTTACTCCTGGCTCTACACTCAGGAATTACTCCTGGCGGTGCTCAAAATGGGATGCTGAAAATTGAACCAGGATTGGCTGTGTGCAAGGCAAATGCCCTATGTGCTGTGCTATCACTCCAGCCTCCTTGAAATCTTTTAAATCACACCTCAAATGCATTTAAACATGACCTGATCTGCTATTTCATCTTTTGTACTGCTGTGAAACAACAGTAACAACAAAGAAAACAAGAAACCAACCAGTTTTTGCTTTTAATTTCTCTATATCTGAAAAAATTTTGCTAACCATAAAGTACAGTTTGCTTTTCTGTTAGGATCTATTTATCTAATCCCAAATACCAGGAAAGGGGCAGGATGAAGCTTGGTGGCAAAGTGCATGTTTTTCATGTACTGGACCTTTTGTTTGATCCTGGGCATTGCAAAAAAATTTTTTTTAGAAAAAGGAAAACAGCTATTAAAAAAAAAAAGCAAAACTATATGTATCCAAAGTAAGTCATATGAAATTTACCAATACATCATGGTCTTAGAAATAATGTAGTGACTCTTCTGATCATAGAGTCAACTTCTGCTTTTAAGTAGAAGTTACATATCCTCATTCTAACCTGGCAGGCAAAAAAATATTTTCCGCTAACATCACTTTCATTTCGTTCCTAGAGCACTGAATCAACTCTGAACAAATCAAGTTATGGAAAGGTCCACGGGAATTATATTCAAAATCTCAAAAGTTTATGACAGTCAGTGGACAGAAAATTTTAAAGACAGAGCAAATCGACTTGCTGGCTCTGTCTTTAAAATTACTCGCTGACCTTGTTCAAGTCTGAAGAGAGTCCTTTCCAGCTTTTCCATTTCGTTCAGAAGTAAGATTCTAGTCTGTTTACTGTGTCCCATTTTGGCTTCTAGAGGATTTGGAATCTTGCAGAAGAACGAAAACTCCGAAGTCACTCCTGCGAAACAAAGAGCAATTAGGACAAGAAAACATTGACCTTCACCTCCCTAGGACTGACAAGCCGCGCTGAAGACGTCCTACGTGTCTTTTGATCACCGTGCAAGAATAAAGGACACCAAACAAATCTGATAAAGAAAACGAGAGAAGACAAACTTAAGAGCTGCCTCATTCTTTGGATCACCACTGAGACCAAAGGTAAAAGAACATCATCATCATAAAAATAAATAAAAATTGCGGTATGACAGATCCTTACGAGAAAGGGACACACACAACAAGGTTAAAAACAAAAAACGAAAAATCCTATAGCGATTTCCTATTCCAAGAGGAAAGCAATACATTTTGGAAACGTCTCGGGGAAGAAACATTCCCAGTCCCAGAGCCAAAGGCGCTGCGAGCGTCCCCCACGGCACGCGCTCTAACCCGAGAATCCGTGCTGGGTGCTAACAGGTGGGAGATCGCCCCGTCCCCGGGGTCGGCGGCCACCAATCGGGAGACTTGCTGACCCCGGAGGAGCTGTCACCCACCCACGAAGCACCGACGGGGCCCTCGACAGCAGCCCGTCCCCCGCCTCCGCGCGTCCCTGACCCTTACCCGCGACCAAGTCCAGCCGCCGCTTCCGGACTCGGCGCCACCCCCCGGCTCCCGCGAGGCCGAGTCGAGGCTGGGGGGCGCGGGGGAACGCCCCGCGTGGTGGTGGTGGTGGGGGGGGAAACAGGCCGGACGCTCCGGGCGCCGTGAAGGACACGGGGCGGGGCGTCGGCCCGGGCGCCGGACAGCAGCTCGCTGACTCCGCCTCGCGCGCGCCCCCGGAGACCCCAGCCCCCCGCGCGCGCGCGTCCACGCTCCGGGGCGCAGCGGTCACGGCCCCTCCTCGCCCACTTCCGGCCCCGCGCGCCCAGGACCGCTAGTCTCGCGAGAGTGTGCTCTCCCGGGTGGGGGGCTGTGCCGGCTGCGGTGCGCCCCGCGGGGACCCTGCGCCCTGCACACCCGCGGAGGCCGCGCGCAGGAGCCTGGGAGCCCCGCAGTAGCAGGCTGCGTGCTGGATGGAGCTGGAGCCGGCCGGGGGGTTTGAAGACAGGGTTGTATGGTGTCAAGCAAGCGCCCTGACTCCCTGCTCTTCCCACTAACGATGTGTGGGTCGCTTGCTTTGCACTTTCTTTGCTTTTCTTTTCTTCCCCCACCCAGGGAAGCTACACCCACGCTGCTCAGGGCTCCCCCACCCCCGCCCCGACACACAGTATGCCTAAAAGTTGCACCTTGTGCCTCAAGTCAGAACTCCCCACGTGCAAAGCATGCGTCCACCCCACTGCGCTCTCTCCAGCTGATGTTCTTCTTCCTAAAGGCGGCCAGTGTTTTCTTGGCCTAAATTTTCTTGACTTCTCTGTATCTGACCTAAAGGGACTGGCTATACACCCTGGTGTGATGCAGCGCGAGCCCCCTATCTCTACTAGTAACACTGAAAGGCCGCATCTTTCTGACGACAGAAGCAGCATGGGTAGGGAGGTGAAGTGTGGCAGGTCCCCAAATGAGCGTGCAGACACCATTAGTGTTTACAGCGGCAGGTTGTAATTAATGTAGGCATAGCATAGGATCAGCATTGGCTGTCGTTGCAGATCGTTTTGCTAGAAATGCAGAAAGACGCACAGCTGTCTAAAGTCAAGATTTTATGCCTGCAAGGAAAGAAAAATCCATCTTCTAGGACTTATAATTTTTTTAAAAAGTTTTATTAAGGCACTGTGATTTATAAGTTATTCATAATTGAATTTTAGACATACACTGTTTCAGAAGTGATTCCCACCGCCAGTGTCAACTTCCCTCCACCAGAATGTTTCCAGGTTCCTTCCCCTATCCCCTATCCCTGCCCCCACGCCTGGCTGTCCTCCCTGGGACCCCTTGGAGGGGGTCGGGTTGAGTTTCTCTCCCTGCCCCAGTATAGCCCCCAGCAGCCCAAGAACTCCAGAGTAAGCCACAACCATACTGAGACCACTCTCCACAGGCATGAAGGAACCAGCAGAGGAACACAGGCATGCGGGTCCTGGGGCTGCGATCTCCAAGCCTGCTTGGATCAGGGCTGAGCATCCTCCACCCAGATCCTCCATCTTCCAATAGGCAGGGGTCACACCCACCAACTGCCCATGTGCCCACAGGAGAGTCTGGCAAACTCCCTGTGGTGTACCCAATATGCCGAATACCAGTAACAATGATGGGTCTCATTCTCCTAACCCTGAAAGAGCCTTAAATATGGCACTTTTTAAAATTTCAGGGCTAGGACGAAGGAGACATTACTGGTGCTTGCTTGAGGCAAACAACGAACAACAGGATGATCATGATCATAGTTTAGCTCTCATGATTCCAGTGTTGCTGACTTCATGGTTTGGATATTTAGTTCTATCATTCCTTGACACCATGGATGTACCTGAATCCCCTTGACCCCTTTGCTTCTGTCCCCCCCCCCCCCCCCACACACACACTCCCACTGCTGCTCATCTCTCTCGTCCCCTCTTCTTCCCTCTATTTTTTTCCCTTCTCCTCCCTATACTCTGGGGCCAAGGACGATTTAGGCATCCCCCCCCCTTTAAACTATTTGCATGCACTAATATAGTTATTCTAAATACCACATATACGTGGTAACATCCTATGTTTATCCTACTTCTGGCTTACTTCATTTAATATGATATCTACCAGTTCCATGTATGTGGCAGTGAATTGCACGATTTCATCATTCCTTGTAGCTGCATAGTATTTTATTGTTTAGATATACCACATCTTCATGATTCACTGATCTGTTGTTGGACATCTGATTGACTCCAAACCTTAGCTATTGTACCAAGTGCTGCAATGAGCAATGTTGTGCATATTCCTTTGAATGAATATTTTCCTGTAGTACTTTTTTTTAAAAGTGTCCTTAAAGAAGCATGAAAAACAATAATGTACAAAGCAGAGTGAAGAGAAAAATCTCTCTGTCTTTATTGTGAAATAGTTAGAGATTCAGGAAGAATAATAATCTGAAATGTTAAAAATCTGAAATGTTTGCTTCAGTAGAGAATGGCAAGTTACAAACAAGCCAAAACTTGAGTTTGGGGACCTGACTCATTCATTCAACTCGTAGTTGCCAGACATGCAGGTGGGAGGCAGCATAATAGTGAGTCGGAGTCAATGATCTGTCTTGAAAGTCTCCATTTTATGGGTGGGAGATAGATAAACAAATGGATTAAGTTATTTAATTAGATATAGCACAGCGGGTAGGGCGTTTGCCTTGCATGCGGCTGACCCGGGTTTGATTCCTCTGCTCCTCTCGGAGATCCCAGCAAGCTACCGAGAGTATCTCGCCCGCACGGCAAAACCTGGCAAGCTACCTGTGACGTATCCAATATGCCCAAAATAGTAATAAATCTCACAATTTGTTGTGAGACGTTACTGGTGCCCGCTCAAGCAAATCGATGAACAACGGGAGAACAGTGCTACAGTGGTACGTGATAAGAATGTGTGGGGCTGAAGCCATAGTAGAGCAGGTAGGGTGCTTGCCTTGCATGCAGCCAACCAGGATTCGATTCCCAGTGTCCCATATGGCCCCATGCAGAGCCAGGAGTAGCCCCTGAGCATCAGCCAGTAGCCCAAAAAGAAGGCCCTCCCGTTGATCGTCGATTTGCTCGAGCAGGCCCAGTAGCGTCTCCATTGGAGACTTTGTTGTTACTGTGTCTGGCATATCGAATACTCTCGGTAGCTTGCCGGGCTCTCCGAGAGGGGCGGAGGAATCGAACTCGGGTCGGCCATGTTGGCCGCTTGTAAGGCGAACGCCCTACCCGCTGTGCTATTGCTCCAGCCCAAAAAGAAAAAAAAAGAAAAAAGAGAAGAAAAAGAAAAAAGTGTAAGAAAGCAGAGAAGGGAGAAATGTCAGGAGAGGGATTTACAGTTCTCAGTACAATTATAAAAAACTTGCTGGTAAATGGAAATTTAATACAAAGTTTCAAGAGAGTATGTGAGATAGACGATTACTTCAGAGGTAGCAGAAGTGCAAAAACCCTATAGTTGGAGCATACTCAGAATTCATAGTGGCCACTATAACTGAATGAAGAAGAGAGTAGTAGGAATAGGCCAAGGCCCAGGGCATGATGTGGTACCTTGGGCCATCAGTATAAGGTCTGCCAAACCATGATGTCTGACCCTCGTCTATGACAGCCAGATCATGTGCGTCTCCTCAGCTGCTCACAAGTATCTGCTTGTATCATAGGGTCTGGGAATGAGGTTATAAATATCTACATGGCCTTTGGCAGAAAAATTGTTCCCCATCCTTGGTATAGGGGATGTCTTGGTGACTCAGAATGACTGCCTTGAAAGTTTAGGTTAAAAAGGTAAAGGCCCTCCCGTTGATCGTTGATTTGCTCGAGCGGGCCCAGTATCGTCTCCATTGGAGACTTTGTTGTTACTGTGTCTGGCATATCGAATACTCTCGGTAGCTTGCCGGGCTCTCCGAGAGGGGCGGAGGAATCGAACTCGGGTCGGCCATATTGTCCGCTTGCAAGGCAAACGCCCTACCCGCTGTGCTATCGCTCCAGCCTTGAAAGTTTAAGGACATGATTTTTGGTCTCTGGCACTGCTCTTATGTGCTCAGATAGGCCAAGTAGCTCTGCTGTCTGGGACCCTGGTCCAGTCATAGCACTACACCAGGAGTGTGCGAGCACCCAACTAACGATGGATGAGCGCTGCGGCTGGAATGCAGGTGAGCATGCCAAATATGCACCAGAGCATGTACCGCAGCGGCCCCTGGGCATGCACTACAACCACTACAGTTGTGCACCATGAGGAAGGATACCATACTCATATGAGTGTGATACCCCAGGTGCCAATGTTGGAGCCCAGAACTAAAATGAAAGCATGAGCACTGTGGCCAATGTATGAGCACCACAGCTAGGTGTGTGATCCTTAATCATCACAACAGCAGCAGAGGGAAGGAAAAGGAGGAGCAAGAAATTAGACCAGATCAATGGGTGGAATTGTTGGCCACATATGTAAGTTATTGCAGGGACTTGGGCTTGCTTTAATCCTAGAAAGAGGAGCCACTGGAGGATTTTAACCTAAGGATGATACAGTCTGACCTTTTCAATGGATCACTCTGCACGCTACAGGAAATAGCAAACAAACTACAGGTTATTGTAAGAAATAAACTGTAGGGTGTGATAAGGAAGTAAAGAGACCAGTAAGGAAACTATCTTAAAGACCCACACTAGTAATTGGTACACACATGTAATACATGTATTCATGTGTGTATGAGAGAGAGAGAGAGAGTGATGTGTGACAGTGATGTGTGTGTCTCTGTGTGTGTGTGTGTTAGAAAAAGCCATAGCAGTGAAGACATTGGATCATTTGAAGATAGAACTTACTATATTTGCCTGTTGAGAGAAAGAACGTCAAGGATGATTCCAAGGTTTTTAGCCTGATTAGCCATATCAGGACTATTAAATAGAAATATAAAATACCATATAAATAATTTAAAATGTCAAGTTGCCACTCTAAAAAATAGGAAGTTAGTTTTAATAATTTATTTACTTAACTCAATATATCTAACTTATGTAATCTAAAACATGTTAAATATAAATATATAATATATTGCTTATGAAAACAATATATCTAAGATAAATAATCAATTTGAAGTTGTTACTAGGACATTTCATATTATTTATTCATACTGAGCC